TGGTAATCACTTTGTAATGTATATAAATATTGAATCACTATATTATACACCTGAAACTCATGTAGTATTGTAAGTCACTTACGAGTGACTTTTAAAAAAGAGACATAAGTTTGGGAGTCATCTACATATAGATGGTATTTAAGTTCATATAGGAGATAATGTGGAGAGTAAAGATAGGGAAGAGAAGGGAAGGGGTTAGAGGACTTAGAGCCCTAGAGTGTTCCAGCTGATAGAGGTTATGGAGATGAGGATGAACCAGCAAAGGAGACTGAAATGGCACAGCCAGGGAAGTCGGTGGAAGAGTAAGAGAATGTTGTGGAAGTGAAGTGAGGAATATGCTCTGAGGAAGATGGACTATGTCGAATGTGACTGATGAAGTAAATGATGCCCGAGAACTGACCATGGATTTGGCCATGTGGTGGTCATTGGTCATTTTGACAAGAGCTGTTTCAGTAGAGTGGTGCTGTAATAACCTGGTTAAAATTGTTTAGGAGGGTTTTTATTTTGTTTTGGTTTTGTTTTTTAATGGGAACTTTTTAAAACAATATCTGTCGTTGGAATGAGCCAGTAAAGAGGTAAAAATTGATGCAGGAGAGAGGGGACAATTCCTGGACCCATGTCTTTAAGGAGGAAAGAAGGGGGTGGCATCCAGCACGTAGTCAATAAGCCATACAGGGTAATTTGTCACTTTCTGAAAGATCTTTCAAGCATTTGCCTCGTTCTGTCTTCCTTTGGCTGGAAGTCCCTCACTTCCCTTCTTCCATCAGCAGTACCACCACTACTCCGCCTGCCAAAACCATATTCATGCTTCAGAAGCACAACACATTACATATCCTTCATGAAGCCATCCTCACATTCCTCGGACATAATTGATTTCTTTCCCTCGTGTGTCTGTGGCATGTTGTTTGTACTTTTTTTACATCACTTCCATGGACTGCCTAGCGTCTTAGTCTTTCTCCTTGATTAGATCATTTGTTCCTTGAAGGCTTCTGATCCCTAATTTCTGACCCCACTCAACTCTTACAAAAGACAAATTAGTTAATAGACATTCCTGGCTCATAGAAGGTACCCAACTGTTTGTTGTACTGTTTAGTTATAAGGAGTTAGTCTTTCCCTTTTTTGAGGAGGTTGGTTTAGGTTGGAGGAATGGTGCCAGGCTCCACTGCTGAGTGTGTTTACTTTGCATCTCCTACTAGTGTAAATAGCACTGTATTTGTCTAAATTATATTAAAAATCTGTGTGTCTTTCTCATCTCCTTAGCAACACTGTGTAACTATGGCTCTCTAAAGTGTTGTAGGCAGTAAACTTCAGTAAATATTGCTGAGTTGATTAATAAACCTTTTTCTTCTGTTCTCGCCCTTTCTAAGCTATGATAAACTGGTGCCTTATAGGCAAATTCTAGCCAGGATTCATCCTCTACCCTATTTCCCAGAAGTCTACCCTAGAGAATCAAGTAATCTCTTGAGAATCAATCATTTCTCAAGAATAAGAAAATAAATAATCAGTGATTCTCAAGAATAATTCTTGAGAATAAATAAAAGGCACACCTGAAACTAATAAAAAAATAAAATAATAAAAATTAAAAAATTAAAAATAAAGAAAGAAGAATTAGAGGGGAATCTTTCTCATAAACACAGATGTGAAAAAAATGAAAAAATAAAAAGAATAAATAAAAAGAATAACTGCTTGCTTGATTGATTTCTGGCCAAATCAGTTACCTTTCGGTTGGGAAGTGCTAAGTTAGATTCTGCCTTTAATAGAGATAGGGCTCAAAAGAACGTACACATTGGGACCCAGCCTGAGTCAAATCCAGGTTCTGCCACTTGAGCAAAGCACTCTGTCTCAGTCAACCTCTCTGAAGTTATACTTTTCTTTCCTGAAAATATAGGGATAATCATGCCCTCTTAATAGATTTGCTGTGAAGTTTAGGTGAGGTATGTGTGCAAAGTGCCCAGCTCAGCATCTAGAAAAGTAAGTACTCGATCAATGTTAGTGAATCTTCCCCTTTCTCAGTTTTTGGTTTTGTTTTTCTCTCACACTGGGTTGCTGCTATCCTGTTTCAGAACAGCAGAGAAAATGGGTGGGCTACCTGCTGTAGCATGGTATGTGTTTTTCCTAGAGAGCAGTTTTGAGCTATGGCTTCTTTCCCATTCCCCTCCTGGCCTGTCTGCCATGGGCTCACACCCCCAGATCATTTCTTTACCCTTTATCTCCTCCACTTCCCCCTTGAATGCAGTCCCATGACCAGAAGCTAGTGTCACCTCCGGCTCTCCATCATCTCCTTCCACCCCAACTCCCAACGTTCCTCATGAACTACAACTTCTGAAGCGATTGTTCTTTGCTCTCTAGCCGAAGGTTAGACACACAATAGAAAGGTCGCCACCTGCTGGAGGACTAGATTTTCTTTGCTCAGGTTGCAGAACAGCTTTTTGCATCAAGATTCAGGTTTAGAAGGCCATCCTCCCACGTCCCAGCACGTCAGGTTCTCTTGTGGTTTGTTTTTCTCTTTCCTTCTCCTGAGCCTGCGTCTTTGAGAGAGAGCAAAGTGGAAATAATGTCAAACTCTGACTAAGAAAGTACAACAGTCTCATTGCTTTAGCTTGGATCAACTCACTTTACTTCTCTGAGTTGCAGTTTACTTGTATGTAAAATAGGAATAATAATTCCTGAATTTTGACCTTACCAGATTATTATTATAAAATAAAGGATGCAGAGAGCTTGATAAACCAAAGTGCTACTTGGATGTAAGGAGGTATTATTACTCTCTTTCCTCATTTATTTTTCCAGGCTAGGCCAGGCTTAGAGGAAATGGGTACCAGAGTCTGCATTTGCTTATTTCCTTTCCCAGAACCCTGCCCTGCCTAAGGGGCAGAACCTGGTGAGGCCCCCAAGCCCATATAACCTGTGATGGGCTTCCATGATCTTGCCACCCAGGAAGGTACAGCACCATAAAGCCAAACCACTGATTTGCCAACTCTCAGCTCCTCCCAGCCACGTACAGCTTGGTAACGTGGGCCTGAGCAGCGTCTCCTCTTTCTATGATGCTGGAGACTCCAAGGAAGAATTTTGGTTTAATCTCCTGTCAAAACTTTGACTCATCTGCCATAGATACTTGGCCAGACTGTCAGAACATTCTGGGAGTTCTCTGAAATGAGAGAATAATACAATACTTCTAGTTACCCCTGAGTGCCTACCATGTATGAGGCACTGCAGTTAGAACTTACTTGTTTAATCCTCATAGCATCCTTTGAAGTACATATTTATTATTTGCAATTTACTGAAAACTGAGGTTCAAAAAAGTTAAGTCTCTTGTTCCAATTCTCACAGCTAGTAAGTGGTAGAGTTGGAATTTGAACTTATTTCTCCCTTATTCCAAAATTGTTGTTCTGACCGCCATACCACTATATAGGTAGCCGGACTGTGTGCTACAGAGGAAAATTCAAGAGAGTCCCAGTCCTGTGACCTGCATGCAGATCCCAACCCTGCCTGTGTGATCTGGGGCAAGTGGCTTTCACCTTCTCCAGCCACAGATACTATCTCGTTAAATCTTCACCTTAGCCATGTGACTTAGGTGCTAGTCTCTCTGTTTTACATTTGAGGAAACTTAATGAGATGAAATGACTTGCCTAAGGTTACAGAATAGTAATAGTAAGTGGCAAAGCCAGAGCTCAAGTCTGGGTCGAACACCTGGTCCGGTGTTCTGTTCACCATTTGTCACAGCCAGTTCCTAGCTCCTAAGACTTGGTATATCAGTCAGTCAGACGTAGGGCTCCCATCATGCTGGTTGAAAGCCTATAGGAGGTGCAGGGGCCCCGCCCTCTTCTGCTCTGTGTCGTTATCCTCGCATAATCTCTCCTTCTTCTTAAAAACTTTTTTTTAAAAAGATTTTTATTGGGGAATTGGGGGGATGGGAATAGTGCTAGGGAATTGGGGGAAGGGGAACAGACAAGTTGCTGTCCTTTTGTTCTTCAGTCTAGTTGTGGAGGACGCCGCTTCACTGGCCCAAGTTGGCACATCATTGCGCTCTTCCCTGGCGAGGCAGATCAGTCGCCGGCTTCTGGACGGCGCTCACAGCGGCTGCTGGCCGCTCACGCTGGCTGCTGGCCACACACGGTAGCCCATGGCAACCCACTGCCACAGGGGCTGCAGCCTACGCCGTCGCCGGCGACTCATGGCAGCCCAGCTCCAGGTTGAGCTGTTGTTCAGCATCTTAGCTGTGGAGGGCAGTGTCACTGGCCCTCATGTGGGATCCGAACCGGGGCCCTCTGACGTCCCAAGCCAGCTCTTAACCATCGCGCCACTCGGCCGGCCCTTCTTCTTAAAAACTTTACTAAGGCAATATAAATATTTGCAATCCAAGGACATGGTTTATGCAAAGCTGAGGAGCTACCCGGAGCATCCCACAGACGCCTGGGACTCTGCCTGCCACCCAGTGAGTCTATGCTTTACCCTGGTGGCATAGTGTCGTGGGCAGTTTTGAGAAAGTTCTTTCTGAGCTTTTGTCTTTATCAGTATAATCTTATAAGGTTATTGTGAATGTTAGAAATGATAAATATTCAAGGACAGCAGGTAGAGCCTCATTAAACTAGACAGACTTATATGAAAAAGTAAAAGACCCCTATCTTCCCCCCATTCTGGACATTCCTGAGATAACACTTGTTACCAGTATGAGTCCTTTTCGTTGTTTTGTGTATATTTTAAACATATACAGGTATGTATAAATATATATATATATACACATTATATGGTATGCATGGATGCGTGTGTATTTATATACACACATATGCGTTAAACACACTGGAATCTAGAATACATACTGTATTATGACTTGATTCTTTCACTTGTTTTGAGCTTTTGTCTTGTTAGTACTTGAAGATATAGTTTATTCTTTTTAATTAATGTTTTATAATTTATTAAGTGATCCCCTATTGATTACATGCCATGACTTTTTTAAAGCAATTATACACATGCGATGTCGAGCTATTAAATTTTCTTTTCAGGAAAAGAAGAAAAAGAAACATAGAGACCGGAAGTCATCTGACTCTGACAGCTCAGACTCTGAGAGTGATACAGGCAAGAGGGCGAGGCACACATCGAAAGACAGCAAGGCAGCAAAGAAGAAGAAAAAGAAGAAGAAGCACAAGAAGAAGCACAAGGAGTGAGCGTGCAAAGAGCAGAGGGGGTGGTTGAGAGAAGGAACCAGGAACCTCGTGCTGTGCAGCCCCGGCTCCTAGAAAGACTCAATAGTGAGAATATGGCCTCCCACCCCATTATGCCTCTCCCATGGGAGACGGCTTCCCTTCAGGCAGCAGGCAGGTTTGGGAGTTAGATGTCAAAAGCATCTGCGTGAATGAGTTGTTTCCTTATCACTCCTGGTCCCTTTGCAAGTGACCCCTGCAGCTCACCTGTTCATTCACCCACTTCATTCAGCAGGAGGTCCCGTTACCCTCTCCAGCTGCCACTGCCAGTGCCTGATTCCTGCCTAGGAGTCCAGGTTAGAGCCACAGTTACTGCTGTGGGGGTGAGCCTGACTGTAGTTGAACAGTGACTGGCCCCTCCCTGTTGGTTTGCCCTGGGCTGGTTGGTGGGTGTTCTCTGCTGCATCCAACACAGGGACAGAGGAGGGGAGACTTGCTGTATGAGGGAGAACGTGGTAAGAAGTGGTGCTCACTTTTTCCATTCCCCCTAACATGATTCTGCTATGCTACAAGTGACAGCCAGTGGTCACAGCCAGAAAACCGTTGTTTGCAGTGACTGAGCTTGTGTGTGACATTCCACCAGACCACCGAACCGTACAGCTCAAGCCAAGATCATTGCTTTACTTTGTATCTGCTACCGTGTGTGTCCGTTGGTTTTACTTCAGGTTTCTGCTTAAATTCCTGGCACTAAATGGAAGTGTGTTTGGCTTTAAACTTACTCAAAGTTCTTATTGCTGTAATACTTCCCAGGTAACTTACAGACTTAAGTCAGAGTCTACATAAGTTGACTGAAAAACATTTAATATGTTACCTGAGACAGTGGAGAGAGGCCCAGCTGAGATACAGAGCCAGAGGTACTAGCAGGTCACAGCCTTCTTAGGAGATCACTTATAAGCCCTCCCTTCTGTAATGATCAGATGACCTTTTCCCCCAGAGCTAATTAGAGAACCTGTAAGAATTTGTAACCATGAGTAATGGTCTGGGGCATAGGTGGGAGCTCAGCAGTCATCTTGGCCAGTGGGCCTTTTCTCCCTCCACCATAGCATAAGCGTGAATCCTTTGTCCTGAGCCTGCATTCTGGAGAGACCACAGCATTGCACAGACAAGAGCAACTGTCCAGACCCAAGGGCATTCAGGACAGGATGGGCCTGAGGTGATAGTTCAGTAGCCAAGCCTGGGTAAGTCCTGCCACTGATTATTCCAGGTTGGACTCGCTCATTTGGCCATGGGAGGAGGTAGAGGCAATGTAAACAAGGTGTAGGTACAGCTTTTTATTGTACATGTAAGGTGATCAGCTACACTGTCCCCGAGACCGTCCGTTTCAGTCTCTCATCCAATGCTTCTTCCTGAGGGACCTTCAGGCAGGCATTTTTGCCCATTCTGACACACAGGGAAACTGAGACTCCCAGAGTCATGTCACCAAAGGCAAAAGGGCAACTGGGTGACCTTGGCTCTGCTTTATTGACCTCAGAGCACCCTTTGGATGCAGTTAAAAACCAAACACAATGGGAACCGGAACTGGATCCACGATAGATCCCCAGAAGACTTTCCCCAACCAAGGCGGATTTATACAAAATGCCAGCGGAAAAAATGAGGCAATCTAGGGCTGAGTCCAGGGGTAGCCAGTTGGCAGAGGAGCGGTCAGTGAAGGCGTGGGCAGGTCATGCTTCTTTCTCATAAGTGCGGGTACAAACTGCACTGCCATGGGTGAGTGTCTGGAAGGAAAGAGTCAGATTAGGGCACAACACATACTGGGAGCCCTCTCCATTCTGATGGGGAGAGCCCTCTGCCTTCATCCTATTATCTGCATTTATTGACTGCCCAGTATGTTCCAAACACTTTGCACATATTTTTTTCCAATACTTAACACCAAGTTAGACACTGTAATAATCCCTCTTTTAGAGATTTGGGGATGAGCTTTGGGAGAAAGTACCTTGGTCAAGCTCGCAGGGTGTTCCGCTTTCCCTTATACCATTCCTCCCCTTCATCCGTAATGCCTAAGGTAGTGCCTAGCATGTAGTAGACAAACAGGTGAATAAGAATATCCAGAGACTCTTGGGGAAGAACTGTTAGGCCACCAACTTTCCTTTCCTTCCCTAACTTGGGGTAGTCGCAGGGCCAGAGCCCTGAGCCCCCACCATCTAGCCTGGCACCGCAGAGCCAAGCCCACGGTCTCACCATAGTCTGATGCCCAGTGAGTATTTGGTCCTGCATATCACATTTCCACCACAGGCAGGCAGTCCATTCTTAACTCTGCAGGGACCCTTTCTCCGTGGGAGTGCAAGGATGCACTGAACAGGTTACACTGTCCCAAGAAAATCCTGCCGTGAAGATGCTGAAGCAAAGACCTGAGGCCCTGCAGAGAGGTGGTTGAGACCACGGGTGGCTGCTATCTCTGCCTCTGGGTTGGGGTGTTCAGTCAAGGCTGCATTCTCCGAGTCAAGTCCCTACATTTGTCCCTAAACAGACAGAACTGCCATCCTGGTTGTCACTTCTTACCCAAGCCATGTTCAGGTACTTGCAGCAGGCCAGGCCTGGAGAGCACTGAGGAGGTGGTGCTGTCAGTGCCCCACCGGTCACCAGCCAGTCACTGCCCAGAGGCTTTACCTGGTGCAGTACTGTCCTGAGGAGGAGGTGGGAGCCTTTCCTAGGGACTTGGGGTCAGATCTGGCCCTGCTTTCTACCTCTGGGGCAAGGCAAGGCAGCGGCAGAGGAGGAGACAGGCTGTGGAGCCCCCGCCGCATTCCGCCCACATCAGCGGTGCTTTGTGCTCTGCATCTGCTGTCGCACTCAGACTTCCCAACAGCCCTAAAGGGTGGTGTTACAAACCTGTTTTATAGCTGGACTCGAAGATGACTTGTCCAGCGTTACACAGCCTGTGAGCTGAGATCTGAACCTCGGCCTGAGATGTGCTTCCAAAGCACTAAATAGAAAATTCCCACCAGCCTGACCTGGTCTCTACCCTCCATTGTCCCAGCTCCCACTGCTGCTGCAGGAAGACCTTAGCTTTCTACAACAGGCTTGGCTGAAGGGGCAGTGAGAGTAGCAACTGGACGAGGCTCCAGAGCTGTCCATCTTACCAGGATGAGTTTTCCGTCGACGAGCTCCCGCACGAGCGTTGACTCTTGCCCATCCCACTTCTGCAAGTGGACAAGCTTGCCTCCATCCAGTGTCACGATGGACTGTGGAAAGAGGGTAGAGGCCTGAGCTGTGATCTGAGCCAGGATCGAGGGACAGCATGGGGTCTGGTCACGCGGCCACAGAGGACTCCGCGTCTGACAGTCCACCTCCAGCCTAGCCCCACAGGTCGCCTAGTTCACTTCCCATCTCTGCTCCACGACTGCCCCCTGCAAGTAGGGAGAGGCAGGCAGCATGGTAGAGCAGACAGCCTCGCTCTGAGAAGAGCCACCAGCGTTCAAATGGGCACTTATCCTGTATTCTAGGTGATGCCACACCCAGTGCCCCTAAGATATAGGGGGCACCTACCAACCTATAGCCCTAGGAAAGACTGGTGAGGCGGAATTCTGAGACTCTCCAGCCTAGAGGTGATCACATACTGTCTAAAAGACCCTTGGGATGGGAGGTATTGGAAAACTAGACCTCCTGGCCCGTCTTCCTACCCCTTCTCTTGATCCACATCATGTGACCCCTTCAGCTGACAAGAGGGCAGCAACTGCCAGGTCCTGGGACTCGGTGCCCTTGGAGTGTCCCACAGCCCTGGTCAGATGCCCACTTAGTCTTCTGAGTTCTACCAGCCTGCATCAGCTGGTTCTCATTTGGCAGCTCTCCCAGGTCTGTCTCCTTTAGGAATCTGGGGGCCCTAGGCAGGCTAAGGGACCCTGACTGAGCAGGGTTCAGTGGACTCTGAGAAGGCTCTGTGTGTGTGTGTGTGTGTGTGTGTGTGTGTGTGTGTGTGTGTGTGTGTGTGTGTGTGTGTGTGTGTGTGTGTGTGTGTGTGTGTTGGGGGCTGGGTCGGGATGTGCATCCTTACCACCACCCTACTTCTTGTTCCCATTCCCCTAGTTTTTTGCCCGCTCAGAGCAGATTAGTTTTAGCCTAGGCATCCCAGAGAACTACTGTTGTGTTTACATGGGGTTCTCACCCCTCAAGGTGTGCTAGTCTAAGAAGGTACAGGCATGTGGTAGGGCAGCCTCCTGTCTCCCAGGTAGGCTGCCATCTTTGGGCACCATTCCGGCGCTGCTGCCAGCCTCCCATGTGATCCTGGGCTGGGCTCTAGCTTCCTCCACAAGGAGGAGACCAGACCCTCCCCTGTCCTTCCTGGGGCAGCGGTGAGGAAAAGGAAAAGGAAATAGCCGAGGGACTGAATGATTGGAGTGATAGGGTCTGGTGGGAGGATACTGCTGTAGGGACACCCTGTAGAGGTCAAAGCCCCTTGGTTCTCTCTCTGCCATGCCTGGGCCGGGGCAGGGGACAGCCTGAGGCAAGCTGCCAAGACAGAGTAGAAACAGGGTGGCAAGCCCTGAGTCTGGGGGTAGATGTCCCCTCCTTCCCCAAGAGGAGGTGGGATAAGGCTTGATCAGAAGACACTGCAAACATACCCAAGACAATGCCCCATCCAGAATATAGCTTTTCCTGCCGGGGGACTGGCAGCATTGGAAGTGCTTCCTCAGAGTCCCTGGCCAAACCCGGAGGTGGAAGATGGAGAAGAGGAAGCATCCGAGTAGGTCTCAACCTCTTGTCCCCAGCTGCCTCCCATGCTGGAGGCCAGGGTGACCTGCTAACTCAGTGGAGGGCCCTAACTTCTGGGCATTGTTCCTAAATCATTTGAAGTCACAGCCATGGCCACACCCTTCTCCCACCTATGGAAGGGGAAACAAACCCAGAGTGGCTGCATGTCATGCACAAGGTCACCCAGCTGGAGCTGGAGTAGACACAGGTCAGAACATCCTGTTCTGGCCGCCCACCCCCAGAAGCAACAAGTAGATGCTCCCCAAGAACAGAGGGAGGAAAACGAGACAGGACAAACATGCATTTAGCACCTAGGCCATTCCAGCACTGTACAGGCTGTATGGCCCATGTTCATTTCAATCCCCCATAATAGCCTACCCCTCAAGGTGCAGTAATAGGGTGCAAGACTACCAGCCTATTCCCCTGCAGGGCCTCAACGCCCTCTATGCCCCATGCCCACTTCCGTGACTCACCTTGACCTTCCTGTCATCTGCCGTTGTCTCATCAAACTCCACCCCCAGCTTGAAGCTGACCTCCGTATTCTTGAAGGTGCTTTGTGTTTTTATGGTAATGGTATCCCCATTGACTTCGATGATTGTGGTGGGCTTGGTCATGCTGGCCACCTGCCTGGTAGCAAAACCCACACCTGAGGGCAGAGGGAAGGTTATGAGCATATGAGCTGGAGTGGAGACACAGGGTATCCAGACGTCAATGAACAACTCTTGGGCCTGGATGCGACGGGGAGAGAAGAGGACGACGAGGACGGCCCAGGACTTTGCAGGCCATTTTTTAATTCAGTCTTACTGTTAGCTCTGTGTGGCGAAGAGACGCTACTGAGCCCATTAGGTGAGAACTTAAAAGAGACAGGTATGCCACAGCAAGCTGGTGACAGCTGAGATTAGACTGAGCTATTAAGTGCTTTCTGTGTGGCGAGAACTGGATGTGTTATCTCATTCAATCCTTTCAGTCTTCCTGAAGGGTTAATGTATTATCTCCACTTTACAGATGTGAAAACTGAGATAGCGCTGAAGCCCAGGGTCACAAATCTGATTTGTTGCGAACTGCTCAGCTATACTGCCTCCCAGGGCTGGAGCGCAGGGCTCCCTTCCTGGGTACCTGAGCAGCTTTTAATAATACACAGGCTGGGTAAAGAAGAGAAATGTGGACTTCTAGAACCTTAGCGATAAGCGTTTTCCACCTTTGGAAGTTTTTGAGACCGCACTGGTGCTCCTGTCCCTGTGTAGGGCAACAAGACATCTTCAAAGCCTCTCATCCCGGACTAGGAGGTGGGTGGAAGGCATGTCTGTCTCAGTGTCCAGATTTAGGAGAGGCCTAAAGTGGTACTGCAGCCAGGACTTGAATCCAGGTCTGGCTCCTGGTCTAAGGCCCCATAGGGGCTCCCCTCCTGACCCAAGCATGGCTACCCTAGGTTTGGGGCAAAACGCTGTGTCCTGCAAGAGAGTACAGAACAAAGAGCTCTTAAGTGAAGCCTAACTAAGGTGCATCCTTGCGATCTCTCCTTTTGCCTCCAACCTCCCATGATAGCTTCCCTGGCCCTCTGCCCCCAGCAGCCTATGCTGAGCTGTCCTCCAGGGCAGAGGTGAGGCCGGAGCAGCCCACTATGGTGAGGATGTGTGTGTCAAGTCCCCAGATGTGCTTGGCTACATAGTGCTTGTTGGCAGCTAGGTACTTACCCATGCCCTCCGTGGGTTATTGTACTTAAATGCTCATAACAGCCATGAACGGTTGGTTTTATTATCCCAATTTACCAACGAGGCTCAGAGAGTGAAGTGACTTGCCCCAAACGAAAGAGTCAGTGATTGACCTAGATCTGAATCTAGGCTCCAGAACTGTTCACGACTCTTCCTGGGCCTTTCTGCTTCCTGTGATATGTGCCTGTGATCACAGGTATTACGAGGCTGGGCCTCTTTTGCCCCCTGAGAACCGTGGGTCTAAAACGAGGGGCACGGGCAGCTTCTGCAGCGGCTGGCCCACCCTGCCTGGCCAGTGAGGGACTTGGCCTCGTCCCCTGCCGTCAGAATGAGTCAGGCCAGTTCCACTCCCCAGCAGACAGCAGGGCCTTGTCACTGCACCAGGAGTTCTGTTTGCATAGGACCTACCTGGAGGGGTGGAGTGTTTGAGGAAGGAAACCCCGTGGAGTGAGGGAGGGACTGCGGCTGAAACTGGGCTGACAGACGTTAGGAGCCTTAGGAAGAGCTGAGTTCTTAGAAATTAAGCTGAAGCGATTTACTGAGCGATCTGGGGGGGGAGGGCCTTTTCTCCCCGTGGGCCTCAGCCTTTCAATGTGCACAAGAAAAGCAAGCTGGATGGGCTCTTAGCCCCCTAGTCCAAATGGGGGCAATGGTGGTAAGGACGTTGCAGCATGCTTCGAGGACCCAGATCTTCCGTGGGAATGTCTGCTGTGGGAGGCTTGGGAAGAGGAACCAACCCTGGGCATCCCCGCCTCCCCAGCCGCTGCCCAGTGTCCCCTCCTTCCCCAAGCATGGCTGCCTTCCTGGAGTCACCAGGCACAGTGCCCAGCATAGGGTAGGGGCTTTTTGGCCTCAAGAGCCAACACTTATGTTCCTTATTTCAGGAAAGGGTTGGGAACAGAGGTGAGCAGTGCCTGGAGTGCCCCTCCCCTTAGGTATCTGCTGTAATCCAGCCAGCCTTCCCTGGGAGTAAGGCAGGGAACAAAGCACCAAGACCAACATTCCAGTTTTCCCAGTCCCAGCCTGGGGAGCTAGGAGAATCTCATAGCTGGAGATCCTTGGAAAGGATATCACCCTCTCCATCTAAGCACATACTTGGAGGGGAAGGGGCGAGGTCAGTCATTAGCTAAGCAGTTCCAACCCCTCCCACGCCCAGGGCCCATATGGGAGCTGATCTGGGTTGCAGATTTAGAAATCTAGGGTTTCATCTCTGCTGCGGAATTTTTATGACAAGTTTCTTCAGTTTCTTCCTTCTCTGTGTCTCAGTTTCCCTATCTGTTGAACGAGGCCAAGTATGGGGTTTTCCAAGGACCTCACCTGGAAGATGCTTTGAATTTTTGCCCTTTCGCATCCCAGCACCACATCCTTCTAGACCAAAGACCCTCCCTGCCTTTAACAGGTTCTGGCCTTGCTCCAGGACCCTTTGCTGCACTCAGGAAGTCCAGTGGCTTTCTCCACCATACCCCTCCCCCAACAAGTGCCTGAGCCTTGGGTTCTAGCTGGTTTGGGGGCCTCTTGCCTCTCACCCTATCACTGGGCTCACTGGCCTTGATTAAAGCCTGGTTACACGCCACTGCAGGACAAGGTCAGAGACTGGCTGGTGAGAAAGAGGGCACCCTCCAGGGGAAACCCTTTTCCCTAACCCAGCATGGAGGAGCAGGGATTGCTGCTAACTATGTGGGCCCCTATCTCAGCTCCTGTTCATATCCCATCACTGCGGTTCCCCACTCTTCCATCTCCCTCCTCCTGGGAATCTACTTCTGTAGCCAGTCTGTCTACTCCCTATCCACCCCTTCCCCTTTCTGTGCTCACAATCGCCGATTCCTAAACCACTATGCTCCTGTTCTTTTCCTCCCCAGTCGTCAATGCTCTGTTTTTATCCAGAACCGATCCGTACCTCCAGATAGTATACCCCTCTTCCTCAAAAGCACCTCTCCACCCGCAGATCCACCGGCACATCTGCCTCCTTGTGCCTTCCTACCTGGGAATCCCTCTCACCGGCTTCAGACCATGAAAGCCCCTTCCCACCAGGCTTCGCATGCCCTAGGTCAGGCTGCCACCTTTTCCGCATCTCCTCACGCCCCCGAACCTTGACCAGGAGGGATGCAGCAGGCGTGCAGGGTACCAGCCAGGGCGGGAGCGCTGCGCCGGGCTGGACACGTGGCCAAACCCTCCCCAGACCAGCATCCCGGTTCCCGCTCACCGATCGACTTCATGTAGTCATCGAAATTCTTGCTGTCCACTAGCTTCCAGGTGCCGGCGAAGGCGTCCACCATGGTGAGGCTAGGCTGAGAAAGAAGTAGCGACAAAGCTGGTGTGGAAGGGACTCCAGGACGCGCAGCTACTAGCCCGCGCTACCCCTTTAAATAGCCCTTGCATCACGTGACGAGGCGTGGCCCACACCCCCGCTCCCGAAATAGGAAGCCCCAGGCTGGCTCTTACCCTCCAGGAGCTGGCCGCCCATCCCCCAGCCCGCCGAAGCGGAGGGGGCGGCCAGTGGCGTCCTGCTCGCCTGCGTCAGCGCGGATGCCTGGCCTCCAAGCCCCTATCCCGGGCTGGCAAGACCGGCTCCCTTCGCTGGCCTCAGGGCGCTCTTTAGAACCTGAGAAGGCAGCAGCTGGGGGCACGGTGCCCGCGAGCTGGGGCGCACACCGCAGACTTCTTCCATCCCCCAGTCCCTCCCTGAGCTTGGAGTTAGAGCAGAGACGAGAGACTGGAGGAGAAAGGAAGCTCGCCCTTGGGCTGATGCCCTCGCCGGGAAAGCTCTGGCTTACTAACTCTTAGCGGCGCAGGCATCTTGATTCTCATTTTACAGGTGAGCAGACCAAGAGGGGGAACTAACAAGGTCACACGAAATGAAAGGGTGAATTGGAGCCCAGATTGCAAGCAAGCCTGGTCTAGTTGGCTCCTGAATCCGCGCTCTCCCGCCAGGCCCCAGGGCTACCGTCTGCGGCGGTTGAGCTGCCCCTGTACCTGCTTGAGGGGAAAGCGTGATCCTTCCCGCCCTGCCCGCTCCACACGTGCTCTCCCCTCCCTGCGGAATGTCTCCTGTGTGGGCCTTTCCACCCAGCAGTCCAGCTCCCCATCCACCCTGCCAATGCTCCAGGCTTTTCTGACCTCTATGCACAGCTCTGGGTATTGACTGTGGTCCTTTCCCTTTATCCTCTTTCAGAAATTCTGTCCCCCGCCTGCCTGACTGCTGTAGCCCTCACCTGCCCTCCTTTCTCTGACCTCTGCCCACAAGTAATCAGTTACCTCCTTTAAAGACACTACCCAGTGGTTTTTCGGCCTTTATAGTGTACAAGCACTGTTGATAAGACACACCTTGTATTGCTATTTATTGCGTGCTGAGGGTATTAAGTACATTGTCTCATAGAACTTTTTAAGGAAGTCGGTGAGGTAGGTGTTATTATTATCATCCCTGTTTTACAGATAAGCAAACTGAAGCTTTGAGGAACCATTCATTTCTTAACCAGTTATTAAAGCACCTACTTTGTGCCAGGCCCTGGGCTAGGCTCTGGAAAGACAACCATGACTAAGACACACATTCACATAGCTCACCTTTGGGTAGGCGGATATCAAATTAGCGTGGTGAATTTAAAGGGAGGCCTGTCCTGATTTGGGGTTCAGGAGAGACTGCCCAGAGGACGTGAGAGAGAAGCAAGTTCCCAACTGGACTTCAGCCAGCAGAGGTCCCCCCAGGGGGACATGCAGGGGTCGCAGGCCCAGAAGCCCTGGGCTCCTGCCAGCTCTGCCACGTACAGTGTGGCAGACCCTCCTTCCTGCACCTTGGTTTCTCCATGTGGAAGTGGAGAGCACGTGCTTCTATCTCCCTTCCCCTGACTTTCTGGGAAGGAGGCCAGGGAGGAAGAGCCCTCTCTCCCCCCAAGGTCTTGGTTATTTTGGACAGGTCCACTTGCCAGAAGACTGAGAGGCCTATTTCTGCCAAAGCTGCAGGGACAGGCCTCAGGGCTGGGCATGGGGCCCTGGTGACATCACTGCCAGAGCAGGTGGGGGTGGGGGGGGCGAGGAGGGGAGTGGGATGGTTTCTAACTCAAGGTCACAGCCTTTGACACAAGGCCTCCTCTCTCACGCACCGCACCGAGTGGCTGGAGACCCAGGGACTAGAGCTGTCTCTCTACGTAGTCCTTGTAATGCAGTGATGGAGATCTGGGGCTGGGCTAAGAGCTGCTGGCACATAGATCTGTGTTCCAACTCTGATAATGTTGAGTTCTGGCTGTGTGGCCGTGGGCAAGTCACTTAAGGCACCCTAAGTCTCAGTTTCATCTTAAAAATGGAGGTAATGACAGCATTTCCCCCAAAAGAAGTGTTTGGGGATCAAATGAGATAATGCATTTAAAATTCTGAGCATGGTATACTTAATAAACCTCTGCTGCTGCTCCTGCTACTGTTATTATAGCCTCTGTGGACAGTGCAGGACTCCTAAGGCAGGGTCTGAGCTCCTCCCTTCTCCTGCTGGGCCACCCAAGGCAGATTGCTTTGCTTCTCTAATCCTCAATTCTCTTATTTCTGAGACAGGATTAGAAACTGCTGCAGTCCTGAGGAAGGGGCTGTAGAGATCTTCGGTATGGGTTAAGGGGGACACTGCCAGAAAGCCATTTTGCTTGCTCTCTTGGGCCCTGCCTGTGTTGAACAGCATGGTGCTTTGAGGAACTCGAGACAAACCCGAGACCCATTATTCTCACTGCTCTACAACCATCCATCTCCCCACCACGCTCAGACCTGAATCACCAAAGTTGACTCCCAAGCCACACCCATCTTTTTCATCCTTCTCCCTCATCCCTCCGATTACCTGCATCCTCCTTGCCTGTTGTGCTCACTACATTTGGGAAGACAGGGGCCAGGGGAAGGGATGTGAGCCCTGTCCCTTTTCCTGCCCCCCTTTCTTGCCCTTGGCAACCCAGATGTGGATATAACACCTGACAGGCAGCAGGACCAGTCCCTGCCAAGAGCAGCATCTCCTCAGCCCTCACCCTATGGTGATGTCACTGTTCTCTGTTTCCATGACAACCACAGGCTGGGAAGATGGAGATGAGAAGAGATGAGTAACCAGGAGAGAGAGCCAATGAGATGGGCTGGCAGGACCGGGAGATCCATGGGGCCATAGGGAGGGGGGCGAGGGAGGCCTACTCAGCATCTTCAGCTGTTCCCTGGACCCTCCCTGCCATCTGGACACCTCCGCTGGGGCACGTGCTGCTGGCACAGGGAGAGATGCGAGAGGTAGAGGCCAGAGAAGCTGAGCAGGAGGCTCCACTGACCCAGGGACATAGAGGCCCCCTTCCTTGGCCCCTTCAGGGCCTAATAATATAGATGCTGACCGCCCCCACCCACCCCAGTATCTGCAACTAGGAAATTTTTTTTTTGGCTGGTAATGGTGGTGGGGCTCTCGGTCTCTGTCTGCCATGGAGTTGTGGGGGGCTAAACAAAAATTAATACTTTTCCTTTCACCTTCTAAGTTCTTCTAGCTGGGCCAATAACCAAATTAACACAGATTAACAAGAGAAAATCAAATTTTAATACATGCGCATGGAGAATTCACATAAGCATGAAAATTCCAAAGACAGTAAGGCAACATTGGGTATATAAGACATTTTTGTACAAAGGAGAGAAAAGGGGCTCGGGGTATTAGATTTCAGGAGTGAGAATGGGCGATTTACAGGTAGTTGAAGATGAGGGGTCACACATCACATATGGAGGCAACTTATTGCTAGGCAACTCAGAAACAATGGGACACAGGTGGGTGTCTAGCTAACAGGCCTCTGCCTGAAGCCCTATTTACCACACTTAATTCAAATTAGGTTAAAACAACCAGCCTAAGAATCCCTTTCTGGAGTAGGCCTTTCCACCTGAATCTCTTAGGCAGGAAAGCGGGGAGGGTTCAAAGACTTTCTGAGTCTTGTTTCTTAATAAATAGCTTAAAATCAATATCGCAAACTGGCAGCTTCAGGGTGGCAAAATTTTGGTTCCCTTCAGAATCTTCAGGTCTCCCCATACCCTCCAGTCCCTCTCTTGGTACACGGTGTATTCAAAAGCAGTTATCTTTGGAGAGAGGTCTGGTTCTAAATCCCAAGCCTGCCACTTAACTAGCTAGAGACCTGAGCAAATCCCTTCCCCCTTTCTGAGTCCCCTTTCCTCCCAGAGGGAGGAAGGCCATTTACTTCTCAGGGCTGTCATGAGGATGAAAAGAGGTAACATATGGAAAGCCTAACACTGCTATTCAGTGAACGGGGAGCCCCCTTGTCCCTTTCGGGTCTCCTTCCCAGGGCAGTTGTCCCAGAGGTGCGCAAGAATGAGCCAAGGCTCTTTGAGACCTTGAACCAATAGAAAAGCATGCAAGTATATCTCCTCCTCACTAAGGTCATCGAGTGCCTTCAGAGGCTGCAGAGAAGTGTCTTCATCTCTCCCTTTCTCTTTAAATATTTCGTCCATTCTACCAATCTTGGCTGAACACCTTCTTGTGCCCAGGCACCGTACTGGGGCTCAGGGGGGATCCAGGGTAAATAGGGGAGCTGCCGCCCTTGCCCTCTGTCAAGGTAAGAAATATCCAGACCCACTGAGAATTTTTACCCAAATTTATTTGAGCCTAATTGAAGATAACACCTGGAAGCAAGAGGTCAGCCCAGCGAGGTAAATACTGCTAAGGATAACAGTTTGCAGTTTCTTTTGTGCACTTGAGATTAGGGAAGGTTACATGAAGGTGGGAGAAAGCAAGGCAGGCTTCGGATTACAGGATGGTTAAGATTCTGTGCTCTCTTGAAGGTGCCCATACGTTACAAGGAGGGATCTGAAAAGAGGCATTTCAAAGGTATGTGGACCTAGATGCACAGAAACAATGGGCAGGTCTGGTTTAGGGCAAAGATAAGCCTTTTACTAAAGACGTTCTATGCCTGGGGTGTGACTACTGTCATGACCTGCCCAGCTAGGAATTGATGATCAGATCCCCCTGTGAGGTTCCTTTCCCTTCATACCTCCCTGAGCTCACAATGCAGGGGGATTGCAGCCACGGTGGGTGGAATGGAGTGTTCTTTCTGCCACTAGGAAATCGCTTCCTCGTTCCCCAAGAGTTCTAGATACTGTGGGTCTGAGAAAACAAATGATGGCAAAAGACAGAGGTGTACTCAACACCAGTTTGGTTCTGAGAAGCTGCTGCCTGGGGCCGAATGCTCCCAGGAAAGAGAACAATGGCCTTCCCGGCCCAGGCAGAGGAGGGTGCAGCTCAGCGTGGAGGGGCAGTTACCTCTGCCTTCCCGGAATCTAGCTGTCCTACCTGTTGCTGACAGAATAAAGCCCAAACTCTTTAACCTGTCTTATCTGTCTCTTGGGTCTAATTTATTACTGAAGTCTTGCTCCAACCAAGAAGATGACCTGGCAGACAGTAGACATGAATGAATGAATAACTATTGAGTGAACGAATGAGTATATTGAATGAATAAATGAGTGAGTGAATCTGTCCACCTTTCTAGCTTTAGGAGCTCTAGAGTGAGACTCACCTGGGTTCCAATTCTGCCCCTGTATCTTACATACCCGCTGTGTAACCTTGGGCAAGTGACCATCTCTCTGGGTCTCAGTTTCTTCATCTTTAAGAAGCACGTCATTGTGCTTTTTTTTAACACACACACACACACACACACACACACACACACACACACACACGTCAATCACAATCCCCACCCAGCCACCCTCACAAGGTAGGATAAGCTTGGGAGCGCGTTCAAAGGTTAATTGTTTCTCTTCTCAGCTTCCTTCTCTGGCTGCCATTGGCCCTCAGCACAAGACGGCCAACCCCTAAGGCCCCCAGGCTCTGGCCCCTGCCTGCCTCTCCAAGCTCTTCACACTGCAGCCACTCTGCCATTTTTTGTACCTTGAAGAGGCACCGTGCTTCTCACTTACTGTTTGCCTAGGAGACTCTTCCTCCCTAGCGCCTACTCTTAACTCCTAGTCACTTTTCAGCTTTTGGCTGAACTGTCCCTTCCTCTGGGAAGCCCCATCTTCCCTACTATAGCACTTATCCTGCTTTCAGGGGGTCCTTTTGTTTCAGAGCCTGTCTTTCCTATTATACTAGGACCGTACGACTTGCTGCCCCTAGCACAGGGCCTGGCACGGATCTGTGGGCCGGACAAACAATCTCTCCAGAGCAAAGAAAGCCACTTGTCCTCTTCAGTGTTCTCTCTGTTTGACAATTCTGCCCCCTCCCACAACTACTCTCAACTTTCATCTTGCCACAGTATCCTGTCTCGTGTCCTCTTTTCATTCCATCCACGTGGGCCATGAGACTGAGCCATTTCCGGTGTGGAATGGGGCCCCAAGCAGTCCCAGGCGAGAGCTGCCCTTCTGGGCGCTTAGGTGTAGCCTGACTCTCAACAGTAGCTCTCTTTGGGGACAGGGCCATTCCCACGAAGCAATCAAACCAGATCCCAGATTGGGGCTGCCTCTGACTCCTTCCCAAACTATTTGTCTATCCAATGAAAAGCTTGCCTGTGCAACAGTACAAATAATGTTGGATTAAGTAAAGTATAATTAGAAAGGAAACCTAATGCTTATAAAATAGCACTTCATACCACCCTGAGGTCTGAGGCATCAAACGGATGGTTCGGTGGTCACTCCCTGCAGTGCACTTCATTCAGGAGCAGCCCGCCCAAGATTCTGGAAAACATCAGGCTTTTCCAGGAGGCCTGCTGAGCCTGGTTGGTGTGGACAGGTGACCACTGTGTGTCCATAGGTGAGGAGAGTTGGCCAGCCCTGGCAGGGCCCTGGCAGGGAGTATGGGTCACGGTGCATTCCAGGAAGCAGGTACAGAGCCAAGGCTGTTAGCCTGGCTGGGGCTGTGTTAGGGGCCCGGGATTTGGCGGTTGGCTGGGGGTTAGTGGGGTGCAGCATCCCTGGGTTCTGTAGTAAACAGAGACACTATATAGGAAAAGGAAGGAGCCATTTGCAGGAAGGACTGAGTGGGCTGGGGGTGACCAAGACTGGAACCTATGGTGAGAGATAGCCCCTAGAAGGGTGGGAGGTGGGAAGACGAAGAGAGTAGAAGGATGGGATCAGGGGCAGGAGGGGATGCTGTCAGATGGGTAAAGTCCTCCCTGCAATGGGGGTTCATCCAGTGCAGGAGTAAGAAGAGCAGAGGGCGGCGTCAGGAGCAAAGGGCTGGCTCCCCGTTTGGCCCTCGTGGTCACCCGTGTATGAGCTGTCAGTGGCAAGGGGGAGGAGGTAGGAAGACCACTGGTCGGGCAGTTGAGAGACATGACGCCAGCTGTGTGAACTTGGCCAATCAATCTCTCTGTGCCTATTTCCTCCTCTGTGTGATGGTGATAGTAATATGTACCTCTCAGGGCTGTTGGAAGGAACAAATGAGATTGTGGGTGTAGAGAAGCTTTGTATGCTGCAAAGTATGGTGCAGAAAATGATCGCCAACATCGACAACACTTACCAAGTGCCAGGCACTGGACTTGGCAGCTTTCTGTCTTTCCTATTTTATAATCCCGACAATAACCCAGTGAAGTAGGTACTATTGTCCCCATCCCCAAATTACAGATGAGAGCCATCGTTTAGACCCAGGAAGCCTGGCTCTAGATCTATTCCACTCTTCCATACTGCCTTTCCCTGTGATAGTCTTCACCCTGCCTTGCTCTGTGACCTTGGGCCAGTTTCTTCCTTTCAGTGTCCCCAGCTCCATGGTAAGGGGTTGGGCCAGGTGATCTCTTTAATCCTTTAAGCTTTGGCAGTTGGTGGGTCAGGCAGAGCATTTCCAAGTAGGGAAGAAGGTGAGGTGGGGCCAAAACAAGGAGAGGACAAGCTTTTCCAGTGTCCCTGCCCCCTCCTCAGTGGGTAGACTGGCAGACTCCCCTTTGCCCTACAAACTGTGGGGCCAAGGGAGCAGGTGACACTCAGCCCAAGCTTGAAATACTCCCTGGTCACTGAAGGTCACTGAGGTTTGAGTGCCAGGACTGCCTGCCAACAATCAGGCAGGGCCCATCTGCCTCAGCCAGTGGCTAGCAGACCCCAGAGGGCAGCAGGGCGACAGCCTGTGTGAGCCACACCTCTGAGCCTCCACCCACCCGTGCTGGGCCGCTACCACCTCACTCAGGGTCAGTTTATCTGGGCACAGACCTAGTCTAGGGCCCGGCATGGGGCTATTTTTAGATGTCCTCCCTGTCTTCTTGGCCTGGACCTCTAGCCAGCCAACTCAGTACACACACGTATGTGTGTGCATGCATATCCCTCTCTCTCTCTCTCTCTCTCTCTCTCTCTCTCTCTCTCTCTGTCTCTCTCTCTCTCATTGAACTTGGCTGCCACTGGTTTGTTGCCTGACCTCATGCAGGGTACTGATGACCAACAGATGACCCAAACTTGGTTCCTGCCCTTATACAGAGATGGGAGAGGTGGATGTGGCTATAGGGTGACAGTACAGAGAAGCTATCACTACCCCAGAGGGCTGTGCTTGGACTATGGAAGACCGGAGGAGGGAGCCACTCACTCTGCCAGGAGAGTCAGGAAAGGCTTCGTGCAGGAGGTACCCTCTGGGCTGGGTCTTGAAGAATACACAGGAGTCTGCCAGGTGTGGGAAGAGGGATTGGGAAGGCAGAGAAGGGATAGTTAAGGAAGAATGAGATTTTTCCTGATGATTGATCTGAGAATAAGAGTGTCAGGGGATAACAAAGGGCAGAGAATAAAAGATGAGACCGGGAAGATAGTTTTAGGTCAGACAGGAAAAGGCCGTGCCCATCTTCTGAAGGCACGGAGGGCTTGGGGCCGGGGAGCACCTGATCTGACTCCTATTATGGTAAGCATTCTCTGGCGGTAGTGTGGAGGCTGCACTGGAGACTGGTTAGGAGGCTGTGGCAGCTGTCCCAGTCTGCTCACCCATGCCTGCAGCCAGCAGGAAGAGAAACAGAGAGAGGCACACCTCTCCTAATTAAAGGCATGACCTGGCAGCTGCACATCTCCTGTCTCCTGGCCAGCCGTTAGACACACTGCCACATCTAGCTGCAAGCGAGACTGGGAAACATGGTCATTATTCTGGACTGCCAGTTAGTCTAGGAAAAGGAGAAGATGGGTCTCAGGGAACTGGGGGTCTCTGACACCATGGTGAAGTCTCTCTCCAAAATTAAATTTCCTGAATTTAAGTCCCACCTTACCACTTACCAGCTGTGTGGGCAGATCACTTACCCTCTCTGTGCCTCCATTGCTTCCTTGGAGGGTACGGTGAGCTACCACACCAAGTCTTAGGGGAGAGCCTGGCATGCAGTCAGGCCTAGAACTGTCCTTAGTTTCTGAGAGAAGGGGGTTTTCTGGGGATAGTTGCTGCCTGAGTCCCTGAGAGAACTGAGGTGCCCATATGGGAGCTGGGTAGTCAGGACTATTTAGCCCCATCCCCTAAACCAAGGCTTTAGCTGAGGCAAAGAAAAGGAAAAGAAAAGTCACTTTTGGAGGGAGTTCAGAAATAAGTGGCTCGTGAAAAGATACCCCTGGGCCTAGTGGTTTCAGAGGCAGCCCAGCCCTCAGCCCCTTCCTCTCACAGGACAACAGATCTGCCAAGACCAGGAGGTAGTAGCTAGTTTTGAGTCAAGGGCACGTGAAGCCAGGGTCAGACTCATAGCTATTTCGTTACCCAAGGCCTCCAGCCACCACTGCCCATCTCGGGACCCGGGTCTTCTCATCTGGAAGCTGGGGATCACTTATCCCTGCCTCCCGCCACGTGACTCTGAAGATTAGATGTTAGTCCTGGCTCTGGAATTCGGTTGCACCTCCAAGACAGAGCCCTGGGGCGGGATCAATGGTGACTGTTGGCAGCGCGCCCCCTCCTGGGGAGGGGGAGCATCGCAGCTCCGTCCTGTGGAGCCACTCGCCTGTCCTACCTTCTCCCTCTTTTGGCCTGTGCTCCCTTTCCCAGGCTACTGGCTGTGAGACAGGGTGAGATGGAGAGGAGAGAGCTAATGTGGGAGGGGGAGGAGAAGAGCCCAGAAGGACTGGGGAGGGGGGAAGGGGTGGAGGCAAGAGGTGGCAACTTCAGGAACAAGACAGATGGTAAGATTGAAGGCTGAGGGGCAGGGAAAAGGAGACGCTTATGGTGAGGAGGGAGGGGTCTAGAGTTAGATTCAGAGGAACCCATTCTCCCATATTCAGGCCCAGATGGGGAGCTTGCTGAGGGCAGGTGCTGTGCGTTATTCTCACCCCTTGTCCCCTTCCCAGGGTACTGCATAGGCCTCCACAGGAAACAGGTTGGCTGTCAGAGTTCGTTGGTTGAACCTCGGACTCAGCCCCCTCTTCCAGGCCTTCATGAAGCCCCCACGCAGACCCTGCTGAGGGGAAGATCTGAGAGGCAGCTGTGGGGGGGAGGAAATGCAGCGGGAGGCAGGAGGCCCTGTCCCAGGCAAGGCCCCCTCATTGTCTTGCTCTGTGACCTGGGACAAACCTCCTGCCCGCTATCTGAGTAACATGAAAGGGGGTTGTAGTTTGAGAGCTATTTTTATACCAGATAATCCTGTCTTTAGACAAATTCTTAGGTGGATGTCCAAGAGATGAAACAAATAAAGGGGAGCTGTACCGGTGAAAGTCAGGGAGGGGCCTGGAACCTACTTACGTGGTCCTGGTGTGGAAATGGATCTCAGCCTCTGTAGGCCTGGCCCCCCCCCCCAATCTGCCAGCTCTTTTTGCAACCTGGGGGAAGGGGTGGGGTGGTGGTGGGGGATGGGCACCCCAGCAGTTTTGGCAAAGAGCAGGCAGAGCCCCTTCCTGGTGGTCCTTCTATTCCTGGGAGCCAGTACCACCCACCATCTATGAAGACACAGTGGTCCCACGTTGGGTCCCTGGGCTGGAAGGAGGGTTGCCAGAGAGAATGTTTGGATCCCAGGGCCTGTGGGTGCTTAGCAGGGTTTGGAGTAGGAGGATAAGGAGAGGGGAAATGAGAGGGAACCATGAGATCTGCAGTCAGAAGGCTCCTGATGCCACCTGGTTAGGAGATCTGGAGCAGCCATGCACCTCTCGGGGTCTCAGTTTCCCCATTTGCACAATGAGGGAAGAACATGATGATATCCCCAAGCCCTTTCTCATTTGTGACTGGAGGAAAGACGGGGAAGGGGGAGTGGAGATTGTGCTGTGGGTGCTGAGTTTCCCAAGAGAGACAGTCCTGCTTGTAGTTCAGAGGCAGTGATGGTGGGAGCATCATCAGAGGCGAGGAGGGGGTGAGGGGTGAGGGTGGGGGGTTGGCAGGAAGACTTAGTTTGAGTCTAGTTCTGTCACTAAGTTGGTGTGTGTGTATTGTCCCCTCTCAGGGCCACACTTTCACATCTGTCTAAGGGGACCAAATGCTCCCAGATCCAGGAGTCAGTGACTGTGTCTGGAATCAGAGACTGGGGCAGGAGCCTGGAGCTGGCCCAGGCCCAGGGTCCCATTGTGCAGAGCCAGGAGTGGCTGTCACAGGCAGGGGGAAACCGAGAGTCAGGTAGAATGCAAGTGCCAAAGGAAACTTAGGGGTCATAACATCCAATTTTTTTGTTTACAGATGGGGAAACTGAGGCCCAAGAGGGGTGACCAGTTGTCCGAGGTCCCAGAATGGGTTGAGGACAGAGCCAAGACCAGAACCAGAACTCCGTTTCAGCTTCTCCCAGGAAGCCCTGATGGGGAGGTGCAGGGAATAGTCTTGTCTGGGAAGTGGGGAGACTGACCCCTTCCTGGCCTGGGGGAGTGGAGGGGGATGGAGATGACGCCTGTGGAGGTTGTGGTGCACAGTGTGAGCCCCCACCAGCGTGGGTTCCCCTTCCTCTGCTTTTTTTGCGGTTCCTGCCCTCTCCCCAGAACTGGTGATTTCGAAGGTCCCCAGTTGCCCTTCCCACTGTCCCACATGGAGCAGGGCTAGGGGTCTCAGCAGGGCACTGGGGTTTTGCAGAGACAGATGGGTCCTAGTGTGGGGGAGGGGAGTGAGGCTGGGCTGGGGTTTGCAGGGAGGAACTGAGGACAGGGGCTTCTCCTATGTCTGGGGTGGGGTAGGTTTGCCTTGCAATTTCTGGAATCCCCACAGAGACTAGAGGAAGAGATATCCCAGACATGCACACACACACACACACACACACACACACACACACACACACACACACACGTGACCTCACATACACACCCAGATACATACACCCATATCCCCTACCCTTGACCGGTTACATGATTGGTGGGACCCAGTGCAAAGTGAAAATCTGGGCCCCCTGTTCAAAAATTACTAAGAATTTCAAGATGGTGATAGCTGAGCATTAAACCAACAGCACGACCTTCCGAGTGCAGGGCCCTGTGCGACTGTGAAGATTTCACACCCGTGAAGCTGGTCCCATTCCCAATACATTCAAACCTTTCCCTCAGGGACCCACAGTGCCACAACCACCATCCTGCCAGAGATTCACATTCAGCCAGAGACAGACATTCACACCCCTAGACCCATCACTACTGAGGCCACATACTCCCCTCCCCTCAGACACATAACCACACCAGCTCCCCACACCAGCTCCTGTGCTGCTGGGGCCTCACGGAGCCATAGCTCCCCCCAGCTGGGCAGGTCCAGCTGCCCCTATCAGGGCAGCCATGCGGCCCCTACACTTACCCCTGATCTGGGCTGTGACGCTGTCTTCCATCCTCCTAAACACACCTCGTCCTCATGCACACGGCAGCCTGCCGTGTGGATCATAGAGGAGATGGCAACGCCAGCCCCCTCCACCTACCCTGCATGGCAGCCTGCAGAAGCCCAGTTGAGAGTGACATGCCAATAATAGTGATAATAGTGATGATACTATCCAACACTTATTGAACATTTACTACATGCCAGGCACTGTTCTAACACTTTATAAATACTACCTCATTTACAGTTGTTCCCTCAGTATCCGCTGGGATTGGCTCCAGGACCCCCGCGGCTCCAGGACCCCCGCAGATATCAGTGTCTGCGGACACTCAAGTCCCTTATAGAAAATGGTGTAGAACAATGCACACAGTCAGCCCCGTGCATTCACAGACTCCCGTTCGTTGAATCCTTGGATGTGAAACCTGCGGGTACAGAGGGCCGACTGTAATCCTCACAACCTCGTGAGGTTAGTACTGTTATTTATCCCATTTCACAGACAAGGAAACTGAGGCACAGACAAGTTAAGTCAATTGTCTGAGGTCACACAGCTCAGGGAGCAGGAATTTGAGTCCAGGGTGTCTGCTGCAGAGAGCTTGCTCTGTCCGTTGTTGCAGGAGCTTGTACCAGGAGTGTGTCAGGCACTGTGGACCCAGTGGTTCCCAGGCCTGCCCCTGAGAGCTCAGGGATTCTTGTGAAATGAAGAATAAAGGTGGGCCGGCCGAGTGGCTCAGTTGGTTAAGAGCTCACTCAAGAGTGTGAGCTCTGAGCAACAGCAGTTCGAGTCCCGGGCCGAGCTGAGCTGCCGCTGAGCTGCCAACAGGTAGCAGGATGGCTCAGCTAAAAAAAAAAAAAGAATAAAGGTGTTTATGATACACCTGCCTTGGACAACCCCAGGGGCCCCAGATGGTCACCAGGTTGCAGAAACAGAGATGGTTGTCTTTTATTACAATTTCAATATTTAGAAGATGTCTAAGCAAGAGACATATTCCTTTTTTACCTTTTATAAACAAAATTGTCAAATATGTAATTAAGGCATTTTCACTGACAGTGGTGGACATGGTCAGATTATGGACAGTCGCATGTTGGCAGGCTATCTAGAAGACTTTCTCATTGACAGGAATGAAGGAAACCCACCCTGCCAATAAGTCCTGGGCGTCCAAGTGTGGCCTCCTTGAGTGACTTCTTTGAATACCATAGGCCCAGGGAGCACCTGCCTAGCCCACGCTCGTGCTCCTCCCAGAGTTGCCCCTCGGTACTGGGTGTGGCCCCTGAAACCTGTCTGTATCCTATGACCCCGCCCCTCCAACCCCCGGCAGTGACTGATTGGTCCAGGAATGCCAACCTGATTCAAGCAGGCCAATCAGATCCTTTGCCTGGAAATTGTGGCTCGGCTGTCCACTGTCAGGCTGGTCCCTGACCTAAATTTGTTGACTGTAAAGAGTCACTTTGCCTTCACTTTCACTGCTGTTTGCACAATAGGAAAGAAGCAGGAAGCTCTGTACAGGGGAAGAGAAGAATGAAGCAGGGATGAAGCCATATATGTGGGGAGGGAGACAGGAGCTTGCTTCCCGCGCTCCAGTGGATGGCTGTAATTGCTCCCCCCGGCCCCCCCCCCACTCCCACGCTCCCACGCTCCCATCCCCTTCATCCTTAGGATAAGTCCTGCTTTCGTTTCAGTTGGCCTGAAAAATTGCTACTTGCACTCCAATAACCTTATTTAAGGCACTTAAAAACGTCAAAGGAAAGAAAGTACCACAAAGTCCCTGAATGTGTCGGTTTTATTGTCATAGTTGAAAGTGACAGATCCCAAAGCCACAGAGCTACCTGTGTCCTGGCAGTGTCCCCAATGGAAGTGTGAGGTCATCTATCACTTTGTCCTGAAAATGCTTTGAATAGTGGAGAGGGCTTCCCCAGGCAGAAATTTGCTTTGAAGGACTTGATTAAACTTGGATTTGTCCAGGAGTGTGTTGGTAGATATTTATGACAACTGTTTCTTCAGAAATCCAAATGTATACACCCTAGACATATGTTCATTATAAATTTTACTGACATGAAGGATGTGTAGCACAACTTACAAATGACAACACAATGTACGACCTGTTGATTGTAAAGCCCATGTAGTCAACTTGTTCTCAGAACGCTTTTGTTAATTTTTGCTGAATTCTTGTATCTGTAGTCAACCTATGGTTGCAATTCAACCGAAGTTTGAAATGGGGTGGCATTCCAGCCTACTCTTTTCCCAATGCATCTATTGTCATTAAATCTGATCCGTGATGTCCTGTTACACTATTTCTCTCACTCTCCTACAAATATATTCATTAAACTGAAACCTCTTTCAGCTTTAGAACTTCAGTTTAGTCTGCACTATTAACATTTTGTCCATCACATTCTTTAGCCTAGAAAGTCAAGAAAACAACAAATCAAGTCCTGATTTGTAGCATTTGCCAATTCCCATGTTGGAAATACCCCCACCTTGGTCGTTTCTAGTTATCAGTGTGAGATGAGTGAACACAGAGTTGTGAAGAGATGTGCAGATGCACGCCATTATGTCAGAGTCCCACTGTACAGAGACAGTAAATGAAGATGACCTCCAGAGAACAGAGGATAGTAAAATGTAACAAAATCACGAGGAAGTGAAGAGTTTTTAGTGTTATCTTTATTTTAATATTTTACTTATTAATATATACAATTTAATTTTTAGTAATGACTATTCAACAACTGGCATACAAAATTTCTGGAACTTGAGCAACTGGCCCTTGCGAGCAGGTGTGAGCCAGCTTTGGTGCACTGCTGGACTTGTCCCCACCTAAAGGCACCCCACGCGACATTGTCAACAAAAGAACCCCCCTGACTGGAGAAACTGTGGTGAAGCCATTTGCCCTGGGAAAGCTTGAGCTGGCTTATGCCTTGGAACACAGGAAGAAACTTGAAGCCATGACTCTATCAAATTCAAGGGCAGGACATATCAACATGGCCAGTTTGGCGTGGCCATTTTGATTCCTTCATATAAAAATGGGAGATTGGGGCTGGCCGAGTGGCGCGATGGTTAAGAACTCGCTTGGGACGCCAGAGGGCCCCGGTTCGGATCCCACATATGAGGGCCAGTGACACTGCCCTCTACAGCTAAGATGCTGAACAACAGCTCAACCTGGAGCTGGGCTGCCCTGAGTCGCCCGAGATGGCTTAGGCTGCAGCCCCTGTGACAGTGGGTTGCCATGGGCTACCGTGTGTAGCCAGCAGCCATAGTGAGCGGCCATCCAGGAGCCGGCGACTGATCTGCCTCGCCCGGGAAGAGCGCAATGATGGTGCCAAGTTGGGCCAGTGAAGCAAAGTCCTCCACAACTAGACTGAAGAACAAAAGGACAGCAACTTGTCTGTTCCCCTTCCCCCAATTCCCCAGCACTGTTCCCATCCCCCCAATTCCCCAATAAAAATCTTAAAAAAAAAAAGTGAGATTGTTGTTGTTTAGTATTCAGTGCTCAATAGACATCCCTGACCCTTGGCACCTCACCCTGTGTCTGAGACTCACCCCGCTTGGCACAGTCATTGGTTGCCTGCTTTCGCCCCAGGTACCTGGAGGAGCAACCCTTCTTGCTTGTTAGATTTTCCATCTACATTAAAACTCACTTGTTCTCTTTTCCAGGGAAAGGCAGAACCTTCATTGAGATCAACATTTTTGCATAAGTTAATGTGACAGGAAAAATGGCTTAATTTTAAAAGAATGCCATACTTTTGAGACTCCTTTTCATCCTACTCACATGCCACCTCCCTTCTCTTTTCTCACCTTCCAACATTGCTATGGCTATGACTTGTCCGTACTCCTGTTGTTACTTGTCCAGACAAGAGTGTGAATGTTTGTTTACTAATCAGTGCCCTTAACTAGGCTGTACGTTTTTCCTCAAGGGCAAGGACTGCGGCCGTCTTGTACGCTATTGTGTAGTCGGTGGTCAGTGCAGGGTCTGGCACCAAATATTTTCTCAATAAATATGTCAAATTTAAAAACCCGAATATATGTTCAATGCCATGTAGCTTCCTATTAGCCCTTAGAGATGATTTTGGCCCAATCTTTCCCTGAAGGAAGCTTTTTTGGGGACTCCTTGAATCCCCTCTTAATCTCCTAAAGACATAGTCTCACCTGGACTCCTGAATGGCCAGAGGTCTGAGGCCCTTTGTTCCCACCAACATGTTGTGCGGATGGGAAAACTGAAGCCCACGCAAGGGCAGGGACTTGCCTCGGCTCACGCAGCCCACACATAGGATGGAAACCAAGCTTTATGCCTCCCAGATCAGGGTTCATCCTATTAACTCCCTTCTTAGAGACAGGAAAACAGGCCTAGAGAGAAGAAAGTAAGCATAAACTTACACAGCAGGTGAATTCTTCTGGCAAACCTAGATCTCCTCGGGACCTTTCCCTTCCTCTTGGGGCCTGGAAATGAGACTTATGGGTGCCTCCTCTATGCACTCAGAGCCGGAGGTCAAGACTGAGGAGGGGATATTCCTCAGGTCCTCATCTGATCTGATGGAGGCATGCACGAGTTTGTCCACCAGGTGGCACTACAGAGCCCACCGGGAAAGTGGTCAACTCACTGAGCCTCTAACCTTGGTTTAAAACTGAAGCCCTAGGAGGACGGGGACTTGCCGAGGTCCCCCTGAGAGCCAGACACGTTGTTGGCACTTGATCTGGGCCTCCTGACACCAGTTAGGTAGGTGCATTCCTTGGGCAGCTGAATGTGGCCTGGGAGGGGGGTCCTCCCTTCCTTCTGGGTCCACAGCCCTCAGTGAAGGCCATCCTGTGTTAGGCTGTGCCGAGCCACACCCCTGGCTGACACTGCACCATACCTCTCCCTGGGACACTGACCAGTGCCGAGCCACACCCTGCCCCATCTCTGCTCTGTTCCGGGACCCCCACCTGTTCTGCTGCCCCGTCGTCAGCATAGGTCTTTGTGGTTTAGGAAACATCGTCTTGCTCTCTGCTTTGCTTGTGTGGAGAAGAAGGTGGGACTGGGGTTAGAGGAGCCAGACCAGCTACTTAACCTCAGACCAGGTTCACATCTCTTTGGCTTCCTGTTTCCTAATCTATAAAGCGGAGATGATAGCAGTCCTTACCTCACAGGGTTGTTGAGAGGATTAAATGAGGTGGCATATCAAGTCCTTGGAAGCTTCTTATTACGACTGACACCTGCAGGAGCACCCTAAGAGAGACCGAAACTGAGGTGACAGAGCTGAGGCTCAGAGAGGTCACCAGTGAACAAAAATAAGGTAACATTCCAGTTGAGCGCCAGGTATGACGGCCAGGCCATGACTCATGGGCGTAACAAATAGAACTTTCCTTTTCTTCAGTCCGGAGTTGTGTCCAAATTGGGGTGGGAGATACATTTATGTAGAGCTAAGGCTTGGGTGGGCCCATGGGTTCCCCAGTCATGGATCCGTATGGGTCACCTGGGCGGTGCCTATTGTTCCTTTTGCCTTGAATGGCCCTTCCCGGGCTGTCTCTCTCCACTTCCGGGTTCTACTGGAGGGAACAAGAATCGTTCTGCTCGAGTTGGGGGTCACACTGTGGTTTGGGGTCATTCTGGTAGGACCCGCTCTGGGTGCTGAAAGCAGGGCCCTCCCTCTCAGGGGCACTGATTGTCTCTTTTCTCACCATGAGCGCCATCCTTCTATCCCTTCCAGCCTGGGGAGACCCTGAGTCTGCCTACAGACCACCTGCTTGTATTGGGAGCGGGGAGAGAAGGAAAAGGTCAGAATACCAGAGAGGAACAATCAGATCGATTACATTAATATATATTTCGGGAGCACCTTTTTGTGTGCCAAACACTGTTCTAGGCCCTGAGGTGGCAGCCGTGAATAAGCCGATACAATCCCTTCTCTCAAGGGGCGGATAGGGATGGTCATAATGGCTACCATTTATGGAGCCTTACTCTGTGCCAGGTCCTATGTCATTTCATTTACACCTTCCAACAACATAATGACATAAGTATTGCTATTATTCTCATTTTATAGGTGAGGAAGTAGAGGCACAGAGAGGTTTAGTGACTTGCCCAAGCTACAGTTTAGCGGTAGAACTCTGACCCAGACAGTCTAAAAATTAAACAAGGTCAAAGGGTAGAGGGGGGCTGGCTATGCATCCAGCTGGGGAGGACAATTATAGGGTTTCCTCGATGAGGAGGTGGTGTCTGAGCGGAGACCTGCCTAATGATAAGAAGCAGCTATACCTAGACCTGGGGGATGAGTACTGCAGGCAGAGAGAACAGCAAGTGCAAAAGGCTCTGAGACGGAAATGAACTTGATTTATCACCGACTAGAAAGAAAGTCACTGTGTCTAGGAGGGCGGGAATAAGGGAGAGAGAGTAGTAGGCGGTGAGGGGAGGCGCAGAGGGACCCAGATTGGTAATGTAAAATCCCACGATGAGTTTGCAGCCATTTGGGCCTCTTCCCTTGAGCGGGGCAGGGCCAAGCCCTATGCCCATAAACCGCAAGAGATCATTATCTCTCTGCCCCTGAGGGCAGCTGGGGTGCCCACTGCTGAGGCCTCTTCTAATCTCCCATTGGTCCTGGGACCTTGATGACCATCCAGTTTCTGAGGGAAAGGGGGTCAAGTGTGGGTTGTGGTGGAGGACAGGAGGTGTTGACGCCTGAGTCAGAGGCCCTGAGGTCTGGCCCAGTGGTGGCAAAGGCACTTTGATTGGCGATGTTAAGATCACCCGCACTTGATGGCCTGGCCCTGAGCCAAGCTATCCCATTGGCTCCCCTTGACTTCCTGATTGAACTCTCCCAACCTCTGACAGGAGAGGCACCTCTGAAGGCACTAATGAGCACCTCCAGGGGTTCCAGGGCTTTCTTCCTGCCCCCAGCTTTTTTCGGAGACCAGACATTGCCCCTTCGCCTCCCACTTCCCCGGATCCCGGGGCTACAGCTGAGGCAGTGCAACCACATTTCCCAGGGCCTCCTGGCCCTACCCATACGGAATTGTCACCCAGGGGGGCCTTTGCCCACTGTTCCCTCTGCCTGGAATCGCCTTTCATTTTTGTTTACATTGGAAATTTCTCCTACCTTATTCTTCAAGTAGAACAGATTCCTTCCTTCCTTCCTTTCCTCCCTCCCTCCCTCCCTCCCTTCCTTCCTTCCTTCCTTCCTTCCTTCCTTCCTTCCTTCCTTCCTTCCTTCCTTCCTTCCTTCCTTCCGTCCTTCCTTCCTTTCTTCATTCCTTTTTGTCCATTCATTCATTTGGTTCCTGCCTGGCCCTGGGGGCACAAAGAGGGGATGACAGACCCTGAGTTTAACCTGCTTGAGAGGCAGAAGGTAAATCAGCAGGACCGGATACATAATTGGTGGGTCCTTGTGCAAAATAAAAATGCAAGACCCGCCCTATTAAAAGTTATTAACAATTTCAAAATAGCACAGCGACAGCAGAGCATTAAACCAATCAAGGGGTACTTCCTCAGTACGGGGCCCTTCTGCAGAGGTTGAATGCCTGTGAAGCCGGCCCCTTAAACAAGTGATTCCATCAGACAGGTGTGGTGGCAGGTGAGCCTAGGAGTCAGCAGGGAGGAGGTGATGTTCACAAATTTCCAAAGGCAAGTGGAGAGAGATCAAAGGACTCTTTGAAAACTGCCAGTTGTCCAGACAATGGTGAGAGAAGGGGCTGGAGGAGCAGGTCAGGTCAGATGGTGCAGGGCCTTGTGGGGCTCGTTAGGGAGTCGGTCTTCACTGCGTGGGCAGTGCAGAACCACCAAAAGTTCAAAATAAGGTGTGATCAGATTTTTCTTTTCTTTTATTTATTTATTTATTTTTAAAAAGATTTTTATTGGGGAATTGGGGGACGGGAACAACGCTGGGGAATTGGGGGAAGGGGAACAGATAAGTTGCTGTCGTTTTGTTCTTCAGTCTAGTTGTGGAGGACGTTGCTTCATGGCCCAAGTTGGCACCATCATTGCGCTCTTCCCGGGTGAGGCAGATCAGTCGCTGGCTTCTGGACGGCCGCTCACGCTAGCTGCTGACCGCTCACGCTGGCTGCTGGCTACATACAGTAGCCCATGGCAACCCACTGCCACAGAGGCTGCAGCCTACATCGTCCCCGGCAACT